AGTTATGAATAAGTTCTATAGCATATCCATTTATGGCGATAAGTTTAGCAGTAATCAAGGGAGGTGAGCCTTTCTAGTGGGGTTTTCTTTGATCACTGAAGAGTTTTGTGCATTTTTTCTAGCTTTGCTTTTCTCTTGGCTAGTCGCAAAAATACCTGTTGAGGTCAATCTTCGTGACCCAGATGATCGATTGATCTGTGCCCATTTCCTTTAATTAGGTACCTTGGCGGGAGAATGCCATAAAAATGTCGTCGATCAGAGTGTCATCCAATCCTCCATGTTCTTGTTATCTGACTTCCTAACCAATTTTCATCTTTTTTTTTTGCTCTTGATAGTCCTACTCCCAAATGTTGCTTGGTAGAGGCCATCATTTTGAAAAAGAAACTGAAAGACGTCTATTTGGTATTAGATTGATGTAACAGTTTGATTTTGTTCCAGGCATGCACCACCTCAGTAGCAGAGCTCAAACAACAGTGTGATATATTACGTAAACAACTAATCCAAATAAAAGAGGAAAAGGCTCAAATACAAGAGGATCATCGGCAGCTGTCTTTGAAAACGCAGGTTGGTCTGGGTTTCGGTCAAATTTCTCTTTATTATCTCCTTAGGGTGGTTTTTGATTTTTCTTTCTTTCTTTTTTTGAAAAACTTGAGTCGACATTATATGTGCCGTCGACATTCTATCATGAATGTAGTGATGGAAATGCTGCACTTTTGATTGATAAGCTATTTTCATTATATCAATGCTATGTAGACTGATAACCACGAATGATCGGCAGCTCGTCAAATGTTGACGTTAATGTCTTTGCGATACGTGGAATAGCATAAAAAAGCAGTCAAGGTTGGATGTAGGCTCCTCATGACTGCATCCTTCGTGATATGCGCACAGTGAACATGCAAAACCATAAAGTTCTGGGCGCTAATTTTTGAGAGTTTCAGAGAGTATCTGTCATGATTTTCAGATTCAAGAGTCCCGTAGGCAACATGAGTCGCAAGAATTGAGCAAGTCCCAGCAAGAGCTAGAACAACGACTAGCTGAGGCAAATTCTGAAATAGCACGATTAAGTGAGACGAATCGGGAAGTGAACGGACGACTAGAGGAAGTGACTAGGTATTGGACTATTTTACTACTCTTATGGGACTATTTTACTAGATTTATTAGTTTGGCTAGTTTTATCCTACTGCAGTTGTTCATTCTAGAGAAAATTTCGATTTGCTCAAAAAGCTGCAAGACCTCGAAGATAAACTTACTTTGGAGGAAGAGGCTCATGCTGCTGCAAATATTGAACTTTCTCGTTTACATGGAATTGAGAATCAGGTCTCCAGGTATAATGCTTTTTAAAATTGCGGACCAAGAAAAACACAGGCATTTAGCACGAAAAAAGTCGTAGAGAGAGCCAAAGCGGCCCAAGAACTAGCCGAAAAGGAGCGCGAGGTATTTTCAAGCTAAAGGCCAT